CACTTGAACTTTTCAGATGTCTCTTTTTGCTTTGATAGGACAATTTTCAATATATAAAACGTGGTCTTAGACTCTTATCCAAACTGCTTAAAGTGTTCATTGCTAGATTTTTGAATGACAATCCAAAAATTTGATGATTTTGGGTACAATCAAACTAGCCATAAGTTGCCAACAAGGTATTGGAGTCAATCATTAAAAGGAAAAGGAATGGGCTCACTAGCGAAAAGTGCCAGACCAAGCTAGGAAGTTTATGATTCTTAAAATGAGCTGACAGATAAAAATGGCGTTGTCATGGTGGCTAGGATCTCCCAACTTAGGTGGCGATCCCGCTCCGAAAACTCGCTCCTGCGTCTAGGAAAATGGATCTTTGATGGATCAAGATTTTTAAATTTCGGGATTCAATCCGTTGTTACGGGTCATGATCCCCACTATTAGAGATCTTAATCCCCACTTAAAAGACCAAGTTAATGACGAAAAATATAATTTGCAAGCCATCTAGAAATGCAACTACACACCATAAGCAAAGAGATCTTTACTTTAAATATATACTCTTTATGGTTAAGAGCAAGACTCCCAAAAAGTTGAGATCAAGAGATCCCTAATATTTAAGGATCCCGATCTCCAACATGTACATTGTACAGACGACACTCCCAACCATAATGATCTTCTAGCTGTTTACGATCCATGTGCTTTCAGTAACTATCCTGCTTCCGATGTGCTCCCAATCCTAACAACTATGGGCATTGTCCCTAAAATGTCTTATCTGAATCTCAATAATTTGGTGGATTTCAGCAGTGTCTTGTGTGAGTTAGTGCCTTGCTGATTCATGGGGATTGATTTCCAATCTCAATGTTTTTGGTTTTGTTAGGTAGTGCCGTTGAATCTTCTCTTCAGTGTTGTATGTCAAAGGATCCTTTCTTAAGTAATACTCGTGGATGGAACTTTCCTCCAAAAAAGATTCCATATAATTTTGTCCAAAGCTTGAATCAATTAGTTATGCAGTTACTTTTTTGCATCTTGTAATCTTATTTGTTCAGAAGGCAAAGTTGACAAATTAGATGAATGAATAATGTGAAATTGGGGCTAGTCTCTCTATCTATGTTGTTGGTCCAATGTAGTTAGGACATGGAACTAGGAGTGATAAATGGGTCGGGTCGGCCTGCCTTGGGTCTGGTAGTCCAGCCTAGAGGTAGGGTCACCCCAACACAGTGTGTGTGCGTGCATGTCTATATGTATATTATATATATTGACCGGGGCATGATCCGCCAGGTCTAGGTCAATCCTTGACCCTGCCTTTGGGTGTCAACCTGACTTGGACCCAACCCATTTACATTGCCTACTTGGAACCTACAATTCTCTGCTCACTAGGGAATCTAATAAGTTTACTGCCTAGGAAGTGACACTGGGAGGACATAACTTGAGCTATAGCAGGACCGAACCATGATGCCTTATAAGGAGGAATCCTCTATTAAGAAGAGAAGACACCAACTCAAAACTGGTTGTAGCAGCAAATCTTATATCCATCGGAAGAAGCAAAAATTTCTATTGTATCAGAGCTTAGATATAGCAGAGTGCCATATAGCATTTAAATAAATATTGAAATTGAAATTTAACTGCTTGCTACATGTAGTGTTTCCGGTCTCTGTGTGTGCCTAGTGGTAACCAATATCTGTGTTTGCATTGTTACTTTTATTAACCAATAGGGTAGTACCGTATCAAACTGGGTTTGGCCATAGGAATTAGCAGTTGCCAGTTTTGTAGTTCCGAAAAAATTTCTTTTGGGGTTTGCTTGATTTTAACCAACACCTCAAGGTTAAGGTCAAGCCTTTCTAATTGAGCTCAGAGTTCGTAAACCCCATGGTTAGTGAATCGCATTTTACTTGACTGTGAGTTTTATGGTCTCTGATGCTTGATGAGCTTAATCTTTTGTGCTGCCTTTCATGGCGTGAGTGACTGCGTGAATAATTATTTTCCTTGTTGTTTCTGGGTAAATGTCATCCTTGTGCAGGGGCCATGCTAATCTTCTCAGTGTCATTCCAATTTACTGTGGTGAATAATTGATAGTGTAGCTTGACTGCTTGAGTGACTAGGGTGAATGATTCACCAGTTTCCTATTGTGAGGTGCCAGGTTCGAAGTGAGAGACAAGGCACTTTGGTTGAACTTCCTTAGGGGCATTAATTATATGGATGGGGTTCGTTTGGAAGTCTTTTGAGATAATATTTGATATGATATGTTTTTGAGATAATATTTGATATGATATGTCATCAGGACTGAAGTCTGAGCTTCTTTTTGATTCAGTAGCCGATAGGGATTCATTTACTGGTTGTTCCAAGAAGACCAAGGAGAGTTGTGTGGAGATAGGGTTTCAGAACTTTTAGATGCAAATTCGAGTATGTAGCATTAGCAGTGTTACATAGACCATGACACATGTGTCGGTGTCTACGTGTGTCTAAAGTGTCTCGTATGAAAGGTAAAAAAGTTGGTCTTTTAGACACATCTATATAGTGTATTACTCTGTAAGAGAGAGAGAGAGAGAGAGAGAGAGTGTGTGTGTGTGTGTGTGCGATAATTCGTAAAAATCAGAGAGAGAGAGAGTGTGTGCGCGATAATTCGTAAAAACCGACATGTGTATATTTATTATCAGCTGAAATTCTAAACCTGTAAATGCCAATATAAATACTCAGAATGTCCCTTTAGATTTGTCCATTTATATTCATTTTTTGTTGGATAAATATTGTCATTGTTGTATCATTGTTTCCAAGAAGAGTTGATCATATTATGTGGGTTTCAATTACAGCTTTTCTTGTTGGTGCTTGGGCTTTTCATACATGCAGTTTCGTTATAGGTGTTTGTTTAATCCTTATATTGGGCTGTTTTTCTACAGTTGAACGTCGTGAAGCTGCAATCCGTGCCATTGGCAATGGAGAGATTGAATACATGCTGAGCCATTTGCGTAATTTGCATTCGTTCTTCACAAAAGAGCAGCTTGAGACCCCCTTTCTACAGTTTATAGAGGAAAAGTGCCCTAATATTATGGTTGTCAAGCACGATGAGTATGGAGAATGCCTTCTACAATGGAAAGCTTTGGACTGCAGCCCATCGCTTAGCTTCCCTGAGGACAAAACCATGCTTCCACTATTGGGACCCTGTGGTTCAGTTGGGCAACAAGGCTACTTGGCATATCCTCATAATTGTGATACTCTGCCTGCTTTTGGTTGGCTTCCCATTTTCAGGTAATGCATTTTAGGTGATAGGCATGGCAGTTTTTTTTTAGTAGCAGCATATGAGAAGCTATACCATGGTCAAAGGCCATGAACATCCCAATGAAATGGAGATAGAGAGAGAGAGATCTACCATTAGGCTAAATGTGTGTGTGTGTGTGTGTGTGTGAGAGAGAGAGAGAGAGAGAGAGAGAGAGAGAGAGAGAGAGAGT